TGGGACCAGCCTCGAGGTGGAGGTCTGGACGTGTGTCCTGTGCTCCTACTGATGCGGCCGGGCTCTGGATAGCGCGATGGAGCACATCGCCTGCGCCTCCCACAAGGCTGCTACTTAGTAGATCGCTGGAAACGCCACCCCCCTGGAAAAGTTTGGGGATGTGAAAGTGCATATCTTTAATCAGAACGCGGTTGTTGCCACCTTCCTCGTTCAGGGATAGGATGGCCCTGCAGGTGTTTGGCAGGCTCTATGACATGCATGTATCCCAGCCTTTCTGACATGTTGTATCAGCAGATGAATTCATACATTCCGGCTTGGTGCCTTGTGACACTTTCCTTCATCTCCTTAATGTTGGTGTTCATATTGTAGGTGTACCCTTTACCCGCCCCAGTAGATGTGTGCTCCTTGGAGCATATGGGGCTTCAACTTATGTTAAATAATGGATACACACCTTAAAATACAAAGCATTAACGTCAATGGGCTCAACACTCCACAAAAACTGGAAGCTCTTCGGTCCTAGTTCATAAGGAAACCGGAGGATATCCTCGTACTTACTGACACTAGGCTGACTACCAACTTCTCTCACTTGCTTTTCAAACTTAAGCCTAAGGCTTATGCCCAGGTTCCCCCCCGTCTCTCCTCCTCCTCTCAGGCTAAGCCTGGTGGGATAGCCGTGCTAATATTTCACCCTAGTGTTTCCATCTCTAGCAGATCCTCAGCTGGCGATGGCAGGTGTTTATACATCCATTGTAACCTTTTACATGAACAATTTCGTCTCCTCGCAGTTTATGCGCCTACTTACTACTTGGCTCGACGAGCTTGGCGGCTGCCTACGGTGACTCATTATCTCGAGCAGCCTTCTACCAGTGCCGCAACCATCCTCACAGGTAACTTCAACGCAGTATTTCTTCCCATGGATCGGAATCGTGACCTGAAACCAATAGAACTCACAGAGGCTTTAATGTTAGGGGAAACGCTCAAGAAGCAATCCCTCATCGACTGCTACCGCCACAAATTTCCTGACAAGCTCATGTTCTCCTTCTCCTACCTGAAAAGAATTAACGCTCCCAATTTTGCACCTTCCTCCTCCCGCCTCGACAGAACTTACGCTTCTGACCAATGGGCAGGCTGCATCCACCACGCCTCCTACGTCTCTGTCCCTCACACCCTCTCTGATCACAACCGAGGGCCGCTCGTGGTTCCCCGTTTTCGGAATCCTAACATGGCTCCCAGGCCGCGGCGGTTTCCGCAGCAGCTAATTTCCAAACCTTTCGTCTGTTCAGTGTTGGAACGGTCCACATAGGAGCTCCAGCCTGGATTCACCATCGAGGATTGGGATAGGTGGAAGTTACACCTCTACCGGCAACTTCAGTGGTAAAGTAAAGAGAATATCAGGGTGAGAAAAACCACCTGACAAGGTCTGCAACTTACAACTTCATCTCCTCAAAAATCCGTCTGACTTACAGGGCGCTAATCGCTTAGCCCTCCTCTCCGCCAGGTTGGAAGTGTATGAACTTTCACGGGCTTCGGAAATTGCGCTTAAAGCAAAGCTCAAGGTGGAAGGCTTGAGGGAAATGGGTGTCTCTTTCCTACTGGTGGGCCTTCAAGGAGGAATTTAGACTCTCTTATTCCCCATCTGAAACTTCCCTCCAATGAAAACATCACAAGCTTACAAGCCATGTCTACTCACTGCGCTGATTTCTTTTCCACACTGTACAACGGAAGCTCAACCGTATCACGGGACACCTCCTCCTGTAACCATGTCCGCCCGTCTCTTCTTCCCCCCGCATGTACTGTCCGCCTGGACCAGCCCTTCTCCCTCGCTGAAATCGAAGCAGCCCTGGGGCGCCTCTCCAAGGGAAAGCCCCCCAGGCCTTATGGGCTTTCTGGCGAGTTGTTTTGTTCCTACAAAAAAAAACTTTTTGTTCTCCACTCTTTCCGTCTCTATGCACAACCATCAAATCTCAGAGGCAGATACCAGGCTCTATGAAGGAGGGCGAAACCTGCTCATTCCCAAGAGAGGGAGCTCAGAACAGGTCGCGAATCTCAGGCCGATCATGCTGATGAATGCAGATTATAAGATCATCGCCCTCATCCTTGCAAGCTGCCCTTTCGAAGATAAAAAATCCAGCTCGAGGGGCGTTTATCAAAGGAAGAAGAATCGGTGATACAATAAATAGCACTTTGGACCTCATGGATTGGGCAACTTCACAAGGTGACCCACTTCTAATCCTCACAGTGGACATACGGAAGGCCTATGACATGGTGGACAGGCCCTTCATGTACATGTGCCTGCAGCACTTGGGTATCCCTCCTAGTTTCATTCGCTGGGTGTCCCTGCTTCACTCCGACACCACTACTCGAGTCTCGGTCAATAACTTTTCTGGCCCCCTCTTCCCTGTGCGCTCAGGTGTTCGAACGAGGCAATGGCGACGATCAGTACCGTCACACTCCAACAACTGCTTCAATGAATTTCAATTTTGGAGCAAGGGCTCCAGACGTTGCAGAATGGCGACGCGGGAAAATCCTCCCAAATCTCTCAATCGGCCACGAATTCCCGCGATACCACCCCGCACACCTTCTCCTCCGAAACAAAATGATCAACAACCAAAGTCCCTCGTCCCAGCGATGACGTAATTCTCTCAACACAATCAAGGTTTCTGCACATATCAAAAATAAAGACAGGCACCTGCTTTGACGGTAGAGATTTCTATGTGTAGAGCTTCGAGCTGGACCTGCTACTGCGGAACGCACAGATATTCCACTATTTCGACGATAGCTATGCGGGACTCGCGACCGACACTGAAGAAGCCAAAGCGCGGTACTACAATGACTCACTTACGGCATACAGCATGTTGCTTCGCAACACGTCACATGCGGAGCAGCTGGGAATCCGCTCCTACAAAACAACGCCCGCTCCAGCACTGGAAGTCTCGCAATACCTCACAAAAGCATATCAGCCCAAGGATAATGTAGCATGGAGCCAAATTCTCCAGCAACTGATGGAGATAAAAATGGGCCCCAAAATTCCCGAGCATCCGCGATCAAATCGCGAAGCACGGGAGCTCAATTTTCAAGGAATTTTTTGTTACCATCGTTCTCGCAGGGCTCGACTCTGAATGGTGACCCTGCAAGGCACTCCTCCGGCAATAGGGGGCTATCTCGAAAGCTGCCCTATGCACCGCCCTTCTTTTCGAATAACCGGATATGGATCAGCAGCACCCCGCGCCACGACGAGAACGAGAACGTCTCGTCTTCTACGCCGACAACAAGGAAGATTGACGACCACGTCTCCTCTACTGCAAAATCTGCATAGATTTTGGGCACTCGGTGGAGCAATGGAAATTCCGCTCTAGCCTCCGCCAGTCCAATCCGAGCACTTGGGGCCGACCGACAAGACGCAAGGCAGGATGTGCGTCATGCCGAGGGCTATCAACCCACATCACGCAACTTGAACCCAACAGTTCAGCAACAGCAGTCGTCGCAACTTGGATCCACGCGGAGTGGCATGACAATGAAACACACGTGCGGAACCCCGAACGCCGCCGTCAGAGCCAGCGCCACACCCCATTGGGGCCTTCACGGATGACAATTATTTTACGCTAGGCCACGTTTACAACAGCGATGACGACCAGGATTGGAACCTTCCGATCCCGCTGCTTGAAAGCCCCCCTGTACGTACTTGATTCACGAGCGGCACCTATTGACTAGCTCTTGTGCTAACAATTAGTCAAATTTGACACTCCGCGCATCGTCACGCCATGACTGGCGCTGCTCGGACGTGATGATTACAAGCACCACAACACGTGGTACCTCGACAGCTACTACGGGTAGCACATGGTGGGCTCTGCGCGTGTCATATTCAATGCAGTCCCGACCCCCATGGTTGCGTATATTACCGTGGCTAACAACGACCGCTTGCATGCAAGCGCGCAAGGCGTTGTCTTTCTCGTGGCGCATGGGAGCAACACGCATGGCACGCTAAATGATGTGCTCATCGTGCAGAATCTGAGGTTCAACTTCCTGTCAGCATCGCTACTCACGGATTGCAGGGTGCAACTCACCACCGATCCCAATCACGCGATATCATTCTGTACTACCCAGCGCCTGACAGACATGCAAGCAGATCGGACAAGCACACTTTGAGAACAGCGTGTACGTGCTCGATTTCGACATCCCCGACTCCAACAGCGACTCAAATGAGTTAATCGAAGTCATTCCGCTACGCTTTGAACACATCCATCGCTCTGAGTGGAAGCACCCCGACAAGAGGCCATAGGTTCCGCAGCACCCACATCCGCGCGAGGTAGCCTTTCATGACCTCGACCCAGACGGCGTCTGTAGAGATTTCCACACGCCGACTGCATCGACGAACGCGATTGCAGGACGAGGGCGTGCTGCCATTGCCGAAGCTGGGCGATACGCACCACCGTAGGAGCTTGCATCGCGCCACATTTTCGGGACTCCAGAACATTCCCTCCCAGGACCCGCTTTGGAGTGACTCACGGTTTGCAAGGACACGCATGACATTGCCCTCCGAACGTCCCTCGCATTGCCTTCGTGTTCCCCAACCCCGAACATGCACCCAACCATTCGTGGCCCCGCGATCTCGTCCTAGCTAGCCTTCACTATATCTGTGCTAAACTTCATTATTCACTCAGTAGTTGTAATCACTTCAGCATTATTGCATTCCGAGCACTCTTCTTTCACACAACTAATAGCATATATGTAGAAAAACATTACAGAAACCCCGTTTATTGAACTGCACCATAATAGAAACATGGGGGATAATGGTTCTTCTACGCTTTATGTAGTGAATACCACAATAGACAGCACCAGCGCTCCCGGCCCTTCTCTTGAACCTCCAACGCACGTTTTCATGCTCTCTTCTCGAGCAGAGAGCTATGGCTAAGCGCAACATAGACAAACTGACAGTGTATACAGTCAACGGTGTGCTCTGTGGTGTGATGAGTTTTTTTAGGGGTATGAATGGTCATCTGCTAGTTGATGTGATAGGGCTGGTACCGGTGGAGAGAATCGAAGAGGGAGGAGGGGAGGGGAAGGAAGAGAGGAAGGAGGGGGAGGAAGGGGGATAGAAGTCAAAGCATGTGTATCCACACGTCTGGAGGACCGAACGTGACTGTTGGCAATGAGACCTTGAGAATCGTGACTATGATGAAGCTGAGACGCTTGTTCTCTTCTGGCCTCAGCGCGAGCAGCCTCGGCTTGCACGAGGCGAGCTGAGAAGAATGATGTGAGTGAGGGAGAGGAGGAGGAGGAGGAGGAGGAGGAGGAGGAGGAGGAGGAGGAGGAGGAGGAGGAGGAGGAGGAGGAGGAGGAGGAGGAGGAGGAGGAGGAGGAGGAGGAGGAGGAGGGCAAAGAGGATGGCACCGGCAATGTTTCAGCTGGAGGGAACAGATGTGACGCCCTTTGAAGAATCTCAAAAGACGACAGCGATGACGAGGATGATGATTCAGCACGAGGGAACAGATGTGATGACGTGGCAGTTGAAGGAGGGGAGATGGGCGGCCTTTGCTGTCTGGGCTTGAACGAACCAGCAGGGGGTGGGGCCACTCGCTTGGGGGTAGGTGCAACTGGTGAAGGTGTTTTTGGTGTGGGAGTTTTGGGGGAAGGTGGCTTGGGGGTGGGGGCCTTGGGCGGAGGAGGGAAAGGGGGAAAGGAGACTCGCTCAGACCTGCTCAGGGGAGGAGGCAAGTGGGGAATGGGAGGGATGGAAGAATGAGATTTGCAACAATAGGAGCAGGGAGCAGCAGGAGGGAAGGGGGAAGGGAGACTCGCTCATCCTCCTTATCAGACCTGCTCAGACCTTCTCAGACCTGCTCAGACCTGCTCAGACCACCTCAGACCACCTCAGACCCGCTCAGACCTGCTCAAGGAATTGGGAGGGATGTGAGGAATTGAATTTGTAGCATTTGTAGCAAGAGGGAGCAGGAGGGAACGAGACAGGAATTGACTCAATTGACTCACAGTCCAGGTTACTTTGGTGGCTCTGGCACACTCACCCGCACTGAGCTGCTATAGAGGGTAACTCAATTGACTCAATTGACTCTATTGACTCACAGTCCAGGTTACATTGGTGGCTCTGGCACACTCACCCGCACTGAGCTGCTATAGAGGGTAACTCAATTGACTCAATTGACTCTATTGACTCTATTGACTCACAGTCCAGGTTACATTGGTGGCTCTGGCACACTCACCGCACTGAGCTGCTATAGAGGGTAACTCAATTGACTCTATTGACTCACAGTCCAGGTTACATTGGTGGCTCTGGCACACTCACCCGCACTGAGCTGCTATAGAGGGTAACTCAATTGACTCTATTGACTCACAGTCCAGGTTACATTGGTGGCTCTGGCACACTCACCCGCACTGAGCTGCTATAGAGGGTAACTCAATTGACTCTATTGACTCACAGTCCAGGTTACATTGGTGGCTCTGGCACACTCACCCGCACTGAGCTGCCATGGAGGGATGACCCTCCGGGTGTGTGGCTTTGGGAAGGAGGTGCTTTCAGGGAGAGGTGCTTTCAGGGAGAGGTGTTTTCAGGGAGAGGTGTTTTTAAAGGAGTTTTGAAGGAGGTTGTTTTGAGAATTCTAGAAAAGACCCTAAGGAGTTTTGAAGGAGAGGTGTTTCTTAGAGGGCTCTAAGGGGCAATGGACAGGAGTGATTGACTCCCATGCTCACTGTGCTTCTGACACACCCACTCACTCACCCGCACTGGGCCGCCATATAGTTGATGAGCCAGGGCGTGTGTAAGGCTTTGGGGTGAGGTGAGGTGAGGTGAGGTGAGGTGAGGTGAGGTGAGGTGAGGTGAAGTGTGCCAAGGTGGGCCGCGGGCAACATTCCTGGTTTCAGTGATCACTGTAGCCCACTCACGTTGATGAGCCAGTGAATGCAAGGGTTCCGGGGGTGCATTGGAATACAGTGGTGTTTCTGTGCTGACCCCCATGCTCACTATGTTCCGATCACTTTAACCCACTCACTCACCCGCACTGGGCTGCCATGGAGTTGACGAGCCAGCGGGTGTACGGCTTTGGGGTGACGGAGGTCCATCCTCGCACCTGCAAGGATCGGAATGGGGAATGGGGAATGGGGGGGAAGGAGCCTCTGGTTTAGGCGCCTTGCAACAAGCTATCACCCTGCACCTGGGGAGAGATCGGAGTGGGGGGTGACAAGCAGGGGGGTTGAGGGTGGGTTGTTTGGGAGGCTCACAAAAGGCTTAAAGGCTTAGGGAGAGGTGCTTTCAGGCTTTCACCTGGGGAGAGGTCAGAGTGGAGGGTGACCAAAAGGGGGTGGGTGGGTCAATGAGGTGAGGGGGGTGAATCTGCGTTGCGCACCTCTGGAGATGGAAATGGGGAGAGTGAAAGGGAATGTACTATGGTGTGTGTGCACGTGTGTGCGGTTTTATGTGTGTGTGCAAGTGTGTGTGTAAGTGTGTGCATGTGTGTGTGAAATGCTCACTTTGGGAGTGGGAAAGAGGAGGCCTGTCGTGATGCCATAGGCTGAGTTGAACTCCGTGAGAAGAGGAGGCACTTGAGTGAGAGAAGCGAGCGAGTAGGAGGAGGAGACAGAGGAGGGGGAGGAAGAGGAGAGGTGAGGGAATAGAGGTCGCACGTCTGGATCAGCAGCAGCAGAGCTGGCACGAAGAGAGGAGGAGGCGGAGGAGGAGGAGGATGACAAATCGATGAAAAGACGGGAGGGAGAGGAGGAAGAGGAGGAAGAGGAAGAGGGAATAGCGGCAGCTGCAGCGGCTTGAACGAGGCTGCTGGCTCGGTTGGCAGATGGGGCGATGGCAATCCCAGAGACCAGCAGGGACGTGCATGGAACGGATCGGCTGCAGTTGAAGAGAATGGCGTGAGTGCCGTTGGCCGTGCCCTTCACGTTGATAAAGCTGATGTCTGTCACGGCCACTGCTTCCTTCCTCTCCCGGCACTTGCTTGCAGAGGTGTCACAGTAAAACTGTGATGGGAGACCGGAAACGGGGGGTTGGGAGGAGAAAACAGCAGTCAGCAGCAGCTTGAAAGGGACTGCTGCGAAGGAGCTGGCACCACACTTCACCGAACTGCACTAAATTGCAGCACACTGCACCTTTGCCGCCCTGTTACGTCTTTCATGTGTTGCCCTGTGCGGGGCGAGCACCACACTGCATCACACTGCACCGCACTGCTCACCTGATCAATGATTATCGGCCACGTGACGTCAGTCACTCGAATGTGTCTCTGTAAGTCACGTTCGTTACAAGCCCGTTGCTGCCTTGGTATGTCTTTCACGTGAGGGGTGTGTGAGGGAAGAGCATCACACTGTACCACACTGCACCGCAATGCATACCTGATCGATTGTGATTGGCCACGTGACGTCAGTCACTCGAATGTCTTTGTAAGTCACATCGGATACAAGCCCCTTGTTGACTTTTGAGGTCCTTGTAAGTCACGTCGGAAACGAGCCCCTTGTTGACTTTTGAGGTCTTTGTAAGTCACGTCGGATACAAGCCCCTTGTTGACTTTTGAGGTCCTTGTAAGTCACGTCGGATACAAGCCCCTTGTTGACTTTTGAGGTCCTTGTAAGTCACGTCGAATACAAGCCCCTTGTTGACTTTTGAGTCAACTCAAAAGCCCCTTGCCGCCCTGGCAGGTCGGAATTTCATGAGTGGAGGGAGCATCACACTGCATACCTGATTGATTATTATCGGCCATGTGACGTCGGTCACCCGGATGTCCTTATAAGTCACGTTCGATACAAGCCCCTTGCCTCCCTGATACGTTTTGATTCGCAGGGCGTTGTTCGACCCCGTGAAGCTCACGTTCCTTACAAGCACGTCCGATACACACCCTGTGTCTCGGTCCTCTCCCAGACTCCCTATGCTGGCAAGGCAGAGAGAGGAAAGGATGAGAGAGGAGAGGAGAGAGCTTTGTTTGACCCCGTGAAGCTCACGTTCCTTACAAGCACTTCGAATACACACGCTGTCTCTTGGCCCTCGCCCAGGCTTCTGTCTTTTGTCTTTTGATACTGGGAAGGAGGAAGACAGGGTGGAAACATGAGAGGGGGAGAGAGCGTTGTGTGACCCGGTGAAGCTCACATTCCTTACAAGCACATCCGACACACACGCTCTCTATTGATCCTCGCCCAGGCTGCCGATGCTGTGAGGGAGGAGCAAGGTGGAGAGCAGAGGCAGGGAAAGAAACGAAGGTTGTCCTTGGGAACTGTGAAGCTCACATTCCTTTCAAGCACGTCCGACACACACGCTCTCTCTTGATCCTCGCCCAGGCTGCCGATGCTGTGAAAGGGAGGAAGAGAAAGGGAGGAGGAAACGCAATGAGGATCGGGGAAAGGAAGAGAAAGGAAGGGTGATGGAAAGGAGGGAGATAGGGTGATGGAAAGGAGGGAGATAGGGTGAGAGACGAGAGCGTGACAGAACAGACGCAAGGACCATATGGCCCTTGTTGCAATAACCTCAATCCACAGCTGTTGATTCCCTGACCTCACTCCATGACCGTTGATTTCCTCACCTCACTCCGTGGCCGTTGATGCACACGAGATTCTCAACCAGAAGATTATGGCAGCCATTACCGATCGCCACATTGTCATCTCCTGATTGGCCAGGAAATATAAAAAAAAGGATGAGCATTGGGGAAAACAGAATGAGGGTTGGGGAAAAGAGGATGAGTGTCAGGGAGATTACAGGGTAAGAGCTACATACAGCTGCTTGTGGTGGTATGTAAGTAGTCGACAGATTAGCCGCGCAATAAAAGTGTATTTCCGAGACGCCTCAGAATTTACACAGTTAGAGCTACAGCTGCTTGTGGTGGTATGTTAGTAGTCGACAGAATGTATAGTTTGGATAATACTGCACCCATCAAAACAATCATTTTTATATATTTCTTTGTCCCCGCTATAAGGAGACTCACCGCCCTGCAGATGGCTGTTCCGTATGATGCCATTCTCAATCTTGGAGAGTTGAATGCTGTCCGTGTTGGGGCTGTTGAATGGGCTGCGAGTGGTTATCCTCTCTATAAGCAATCCATTACTGCCATACACCTTGAGGTGTGCCTTGCCTGGATTGCTGTACACAATAAAGGCACAGGGACATAAACAAACAGAGATTATCGAAAGAAGAAAGAAGAAAGAAGAAAGAAGCGGATCAAAGAGAGAGAGAGTGGTTGTAACACAACGTCAACTCGTCAATTTCCCAACTCACCCAACTCATCCAACTCATATGTAACCTATTCGAAAAGGCCCGGAAACACAACCAACTAATATTCAACTGCACACCCTACATGGTGGCATTATTGCAGTGCATCAGAAACAGAAGTGCCAGCGGCTTGCTCTCCTCCCCTTGATCAAAGGTTGCTTTGAAGACATCTAAAAAACAGTGCATGAGAAGCAGCAATCTGCAGGGCCGGCCGCTTTGCTGGCCTTGTTGGAAGCTTGCTTTTGCGACGTCTTAAAAACATTCTGCATGAGAAGCAGCAGTCTGCAGGGCTGGCCGCTTTGCTGGCCTTGCCTCGCCCAGAACCTCTAAAAAGACACAAAGGCAAGCCAGCACAGCAGAAGCAAGCTACTCACGTCATTCCAATGCTCTGCACTGTAGCGTTATCGCAGTGCATCAGAAACAGCAGCACTGGTCGCTTGCTGCCTTTGGCCCCCCCGCGCCCAGAACCCCAACAGAGGCATGGAAGGCACCTAAAGAGACTCACGTCATTCCAATGCTTTGCACTGTAGCGTTATCGCAGTGCATCAGAAACAGAAGCGCCGGTCGCTTGCTGCCCTTCCCCCGCGCCCAGAACCCAGCCCCCCGCCCGTCCATCCACCCGCCGCCCATGACTGCCAGGTTGGGCACCTCGCGGAAGAACAGCAGCGCCCACGCGTTGCTCTTGCGTGGCTTGGGGTAGGAGGTCACGTTGGCTGGCCCGACAATGCCCCCGTTTATCTGTTGTGGGGAGAGAGCAGCGGAAGAAAGGGACGGAAAGGGCAGTGGGGATAGGTTGCGTAAGGGGGAGCCTTGTTATCCATCCACCCGCCTTCCTGAAAAGCAGCAAAGCCCACGCGTTGCTCTTTCGCGGCTTGAGGTAGGATGTCACGTTGGCTGGCCCGGCAATGCCCCCGTTGATCTGTTGTGGGAAGAGACGACAGGAGAAGATGACAGAGGAACATGGAGGTGAGAGGAGAGGACGTGGGGGGGGGGGAGAAAAGGCTAGGAGGAATGTTAATCTGGAGAAGTGGGGGGAAAGTGGAGGGAAAGTGGAGGTGTGGGGGGGGAGAGGAAGTGTGGAAATACCTGTTTCAACATCAGCTTGCTCTCGTTTCCCCCTTGAATTTCACTTGAATTTCCCTTGAAGCTCACTTGACTCCCACGTGCATTATACCTGCCCACCTAAATCCCACCTAAATCCCACCTGAATCTCACCTGAACCTCCAACCCCGCTCCGCACGGCCCTTCCAGCTCGACCAGGAAGGTCTGGAACAGCCCCTTGCCTATTCTCTCCCACTGCGCACACCTCCACACCGCTTAGCACCCACCTGCACCGCCAAGCCAGCGCCGCACGGCCCCTCCAGGTTGACGGGGAAGATCTGGAACAGCCCGCCCGCGGGGACCACCACGCGCGCGTATCCGCTCCGCGCCTTCCCCCACGCGCACGCCGTCAGCAGCGCGCGCCGAAACGCGTCCGTGTTGTCCGTGCGCCCGTCCGCGCGCGCCCCGAACTGTAGCACGTTGAAGATTCCCTGCCCGTTGATTGGCCAGGGCTGGAAAAACGGCGGCGGAGGCTTGACTGGGGGAGGCTTGACTGGGGGAGGCTTGACTGGCGGAGGTTTGACTGGCGGAGACTTCGCGATCGGGGGGGGCAGGACTGGGGGGGCCAGGCTCGGAGGAGCCGGCGTAATCTGGCGCGGATCCCGAGGCTGCATGAAAGCGAACTTAGAGACCAGGTTCGGACCAGAGGAGAGGCTCGGCGCGGAAACGCGCGGATCCGTGGCGGAAAGAGCGCGGCGATCAGGGGAAGCTTCTTTGTCATCGGCTGCTGATGGAACGTCACGAGGAACGGCTAGCCGGCTGGATAGACGGAGTCGCTGATGTGTGCTGCCAAGGCGTTGTCGCACCTGATTCGTGTAGGTGGGATCTGCGGAAGATGACAAAATCGCCGCATTCGCAACATGACTGCGGCTCGAATCTTCGATATCCGCCTTATAGGGCGTAACGGTATGAAGCCTACCATCTGCTGAGCTGGCAGTGGCGAGTGCGGATAAGAGGAGAATCACAAACGGCACAACCATCTTAGAAAATGCGAATGGAATGTAACCAGATGAAGGAGTCGCTTATTGAGGCGCGACGAGATACAGCTCTTAAAAAATGTCGTACTGAGTGAAACCGTCTCAGCGGAGTAACAACAAGATTTGCAGTCTAATTTATCATCAGTTCAGATTGATGCTGGATTTGCTACGCTCTTCGTACTACGAAACTGGCTCGCCTTAGCGTTCGCTGGAACCTCCGTCTGCTTTACTGAAACGCTTCACGATCAAAAGCGCATTCGATCCGAACCGGAATGCCATTAAGCACAGTTCGGAGCGCGTGGGTATCGCTTGTGATGGACAACGCTGAATCACGTGGTCACAAGTAGTTAATCTCCACCCCAGGGGCTCAGAAGTATGGGCATGATGCTCATCCGAGGCAAAAGGGGCGTTCTAGGTTCGGAATAGGTTCGAGGGAACCGCTTGCTCTGCCCGAACCTGCCTTGGTTACAACCAGACCCAGGCTGGGTTCACTCCACGCGCTCCGAAGTGACGACGGTCAACTTTGGTGCATTACGTTATTGAAGGGTGCATTTTTCACAGCCAAGCACCTTCCCAACTGCCACAAGCGTGGACCCATAGGTGTGGGAGGGGACTTGTAACTGTGCAGTATCAAGTTTTCAAGCCCGACCGTCAAAGTTTGACTTCCCGGCTGGTGAAGCCCAGGGTGGTTGATAGCCCACACTCGACACATCGCCCAACGTAAACAGTCTCCAAGACAATATATATATTTTCTTGAGAGCAAATATTAACGGGCTTTTCTGTTTTATTTAATGCAATTTTTGAGATTGAGGATTACTTGAAAATAGTTGAGTGGTAACCCGAAATGTTCTCTTATCAACTTACCGCAGCCGTGCGAGTTGAGCAAGAAAATTAACACTCGGTCTAGACATTGTACGCGTAATCAAGTGTATTTTGCAGGGAACAGCTTCAGCCCAGGGCATCTGCACTGAACCGAACCGAACCCAGAAACCGGAAATGTACGTGCCTTGGAAAAGCTCACGACTCGCGAGCCGATGTGTTGAAAATGGCCGTGTAGTGTATCGAGACAAATCCGAGGCGCGTTCTGCCTACAGCATAACCTGAAATTGCGGTCGGGAGGTACCACCGCTTCTGGTCTGTTGACCATCCCTCGAACTCGATTCTGCGCCAAACGCGATAAGATTCCTGTAACGAGGGAAGGGATTACAACATATGGTAAAATGATAGTGTCTAAGATGCGTGCAAGAGTGTCTTATATCAGTCGAGTTTGATTCATAACGGGATTTTAGACTCGAACCTCCCATCCAGCCTCCAGGCCCATGAGGTTAGGTTGTCACGGGGCCTGTTGGCCAGGTTCGCGGCTGGGAAGATCTAGCTTCGTGCCAGGTTTGACGCTGCTATGTAGGGCCCTGAAGGAACAGCTGGCTCACACCCCCACACTGCTAGAGGAGACAATCCTTCAGTTTTCTTCCCAGCCTCGCTGTCATCCACCTCAGCTGTTAGTCGTCCAACGCTGTAAAACATGACGTGGCAAATCAATCCCATGGCGTAGGCACAGCATAGCACCAGAAGCCGAGAGACTTGAACTTCACTCGCCACAGCATCGGCACTCCAATTTGCAGGCTTGAAATTGTTTGCTGAGAGGAAATGTGGCATCAGCGACTTCATGCAATGCCATTGCATGACTTCATGCAACCATTTGACTTCGACGACCTGCTTGTTTCTGAACGATTCACTAATGTAGGCACAACTCACTGCCACGGCAGACAGGCACGTGCTTCTACTAAGACACTCCTGAGAGCTCGACGACGGGCCCAGCACAGAGACCGAGTGATCGTCGTTGGGAGTGCGTTTGCTCGTGTGACATGTCCGCACAAACAATTATTTTTAAGTCGCGATGTCACTGCTTGGTGCACTCGCAGTTTTGCAAACTTCCAATTGAGGCACCTTCCAGACGCGAAGATCTACTAGATTATCTTCCTCTCGCTTTTCACACACCTTTCGCCATAGCGTGACGTCTCCAACGCAATGTCGCCACCCATCATTAGTAGCAGTAACCAGAAGAGTCTTCCCGCCCTTCTTCTCCTATCTCTCCTCCTCATCGCTCCATCCAATCGCTTCACTACTAACTCACACAGCGAAGGCCTTCCCAGCAGCTCCCCTTTTCTTTGCGAAGCCGTCAAGATCTACAAGCCGGATCAATCTATACTCCTCTTACTGAAATCCCGCTGGCCCCGCTTTCTATACGCAAACTCGTGGATAGCAGGCGCGGACTGCTCTGATAATGGGTTAGGGTTGGCTTGGGAGGGAGTCGCCTGCGACCAGAGGTCCGGTGCCGTCACGGGCCTCGACTTGACCATCGCGCGGATCAAAGGCAAGATCCCACCCGCGATTGGAAATCTAACGGCCCTCACCAGCCTGGAATTACGTTTCAACACGCTTAGGGGACAGCTCCCACGATCCATAGGCCGGCTAAGCCGCCTGCAGAAGCTGACGATCAGCGACAACGGTCCCGGCATGCGCGAAAACATTCCGGCCACTCTCTCGCGTTTGACGAACCTCGTTCTTCTGGACCTGTCATACAACCGTTTCTCGGGTCCCATCCCGCGGTTTATCCTCAACGGGACGCTTCAGAAATTGGAGGCGTTGGAACTCTCGAGAAATCGACTCACGGGAAGCATTCCGGGAGAAAAGCTTGGCAGCCTTTCGGCTCTATACTATTTCAGCGTTGGCGACAACGGCCTGACCGGTAGCATTCCGACGGGGATTGGCAAGCTGAGGGCGCTTGAGTACCTGAACATCCGGAATAACCGGCTCGAAGGAGCGCTGCCGTCAAGTCTGACGGCGTGTACCGGCCTAAGGACGCTGGCGGCTGGGACGAACCGCTTGGGGGGTCCCCTTCCCGTGAACACTCTGTTACAACTCCCGAAGTTGAGTGAGCTTTCGCTCGAGCGTAACGGGTTCATCGTTACGTCGCTAGCGCCTCTCGCAAACCTCCCGCTGAGAGACATCGACCTGAGCCACAACAAGGTCGCTCGGCGTATTCTCGCAACCCTCGGGCAGATGAAAAATATTCACTACCTGAATTTGGCGGGAAACAAGCTGACCGGACCCGTTCCCTCGTATCTTCTAGCCAATCAGCCAGATCTGCATGGGCTCGACCTGTCTTTCAACAGGCTCTCGGGAAGCTTTCCGTGGACTGCAGTGCGAGGCGCGCCGGAATTAGTGAGGTTGGATATCCAGAACAACATGCTTTCGGGCACAATTTCGGATGATTCGTTCACAGGGCTCCGAATGTCCTCTATGAATATCTCGAATAACTTCTTCGCGGGCAGATTGCCCGATTTCAAGTCGCCAATAAGGGAATTCGAGCTCGACGTGCGTGGTAATTTCTTCTCGGGCAGTCCCGAGATAAGGGCGTGGGGCCAACGAGCCTGCCCAATCGAAGGGGTGACGGGTCCCACCGATGATTTGAAGTATCTCACCGTAGCTCGTAACTGCCTTTCGGGGGTGCCTGATTGCAACGTTAGGCCATCGCAACGCAGGCCTGCTTCGTGCGCGGCTTTCTGTGGCGTGAATGGCAAACTCGGGGCGTGTGGAGGGCATGGCACGTGTAGACCTAAGCTAGTGGGTGGGAAGGTTCGCTGGCGGTTTTCCTGCGAGTGCAACAAGGGCTACGCTTTGAAGCCAGGGAATCGGTTCTTGTGTGTGCCAACAGCAGCAGCCCGCGCAGCCAAAGTACTAAAACCCTAGCGGCGCTAACGGGCATGCATAGTGGAGGAGACAATGAGAGGTTGAGATTACTGGCTCCTGATACTCGTGCTCTGCTGGAAGTGTCACATGGCTCAGTACGAGAGTGGATCGAAAAAGAAAACCTTGGAGGGTTTTGCTAGGTGAGGCAGCGGAACCTTCCAGGCTATCACATCTGCGCAGGGAGTCTGACATGGATGTGGGAACAGTTCCGTAGGCTCGGCGGAGTATAACCATGTTGTTTCTGTGGAATACATGGTGCAGTGTGGATTTGGTAATATCGGATACTGTTGTGTCGAATTTTTGCTCCAACACAAAGCTACCTTCACGCCACCTGATCTACCTCACAGTGACTCCCCAGAGCGCGCTAATGACATGGGGGACAACTGTGGGCCTCCTGCATGTGCGGCGAACCTCCTGCTGATGTCAGCAGCTGGGTAACCGTCGTCACCCGTATATAGCCACATCAGCTTGACGGCTCGCTCGTTTTCGCTGGCAGCTGAACCGCTAGGCCTGAAACTTCATCGATTAGCGAGCCACCGCTGCGCGCTTTTCTCATGGGTCAGCCACAAGTGTGGTGCGGTGCGAAACCCCAGCGCCGAAACACCATCAGTTTCGTGACCCGCCCCTTGCCTCTTCGTGCCCTTGGTTTGTGGCTTCGCCGAAACGAGTTTCGAGTCGCGTCACAGAAACAAGCACTGAAGTGGCCGAATCTGAACTGAAGGGACAAGCTGGACCAGCTGCGATTGGATGTCACCACGCTGTTACGCTTTTGAAAGGTGAGTGTAGTTGGAACTCTCTTACTGGAAGTCTCATCCAGGCTCGACTATCCGTGCCACGTGTCCCGAACTCGTTGAGTCTGAATCTAGGTATGAGCTATGATCGAGAAGAGGCCCAAGTGGAAACCTTGCAGTGGGCTAAGTTAGGCCGTCATTAAGAGTCGTCGTTTATTCTGGATGAGTTTCCGTTGGCCGTTAAGACTAGCAGTGAATGCCAAAAGAGGAATGTTTCAACTGGACGTTAGTGTTGTACGGAGGAAGAGAGTATGCTATTAAAGATTTAACTCTGACAGAGCACGAATACAACTGTCAGAGCAACAGCTAGTATTGGGTGCAGCAGCAAATGGAGAGGGATCAATCAGAGCACTCTAGGTCTGGACTGGAATCATGAGTGAAGGAGAGGCTGACGTCAGCAGCAAGGTTGACGTTGACGTCAGCGTAAGTGTTGCAAGTCCTTCTACCCGCGTAGAGTCT